ATGAGTTACAACAAATCAAGGGAACAAACTTGGTTTCCGTTCCAACGTTGAGCTTTCGAGCTGCTTGGCAGCCGCTGGATGCGCCGACTGGTACGAAACCTGTTCGATGCGACTGTTGCTCCTTGTGGTCGATGGACGACTCTCCGGATGCGACGACAGCTCATCTGAAGCAATAAAACCTATATGTATATATATATAACCTATATATATAGGTTTTATATATGTATATATATACGTATATATATATATATATATATATATTTGGGGTTTCTTCCAGTTATATATACATGTATATACATAAAACTGAAAAAAAAAACCCCAACTTGCTGGTGAGTTAGTCTCTCAGTAGTAAGATAAGATCCTACAAACAATCCTCTCAGCAAGATATTCAGATTTCGCAAACACAGTGCTCCCAGGATTGGTATTATTCGATTAATGCCCGACGACGCTTGAAGAAAACTGCGCTTTCTATTCCCGATCACTTTTCCCAGCTGATCCATCAAGTAACTTTACCGCTTCTAATCCTCCTTTTATTGCGCTGTAAGAAATTTAAATTCTTTAGAATTTTGCACCTTTCCGGCCAAATTTTGTTCTCCCTCTCTATCCAGCTTCATTTTTAATGTAAAATTCTGCATCTCCCTTTGTAAATTTCATATGCACCGCATATGTGAAGAACACTTCTTTTGAAGAAATTATCAGCTTCGACCAGCTTACCACTTTTTTCCCACCTCTTTATTCACTCTTTCAGATAGTTTGTTACCGATTGTTCGGTGTTTGAACACCTGGAATAACGAACCCGAGGAATCGTGACGAGCAGTGGCGGCTGTCCAGCCGTATGGATAACTAATCCGTTTACCACCTTGACAGTAGCACTTGCAAGATTCGGCCGATTTACTAGCAGTAGTAGCAGCAGCAGTGATACCTCCTCCTCCTTTTGGTTGTCGGATAAGTGGCATTACCACACATACGGATACGAATTTCTGCTGTTTGCAGAAGAAAAGCCGGCAAGGCAGAGGCGCTGCAATCACCAGGCAATCGCAAAAAACACGACGCAGCGATTTTGCACAAAATTTAGCTGCTAGTTATACAAGTTTCGCAGTTACTTCTCAAACGCTGCAATTGTTTAAACCATAGAACTGCACCTACTTTAACATCCTATTTCAACTTATGCATGCAGCAAGTCTCTGTGGATGCAAGAAGGTGAAAATTAGTTGAAAAACAAAAAAGCAGGATAGGCAGCTCTGCATTCAACAGGCTTCACCAAACTTTTTTGCAAAACGTACAAAATGAGAAGTCAAAACATGCAACAACATATTTGGGGAATAAGGAAAAAAAATTTGCCGAAATAACGGTCACAGAAGAGCTGGCTAAAAAAGTGACTTATAGAAACGACGCTTCCATTAAGACGCTGAATTTTGCGCTAAATCTTTTTTTTCTAAAGGAACAGAACAGAGAGATAAGTGCTTGCCAGTCTGGTCAATAAGCAGAAACTAGCTAATATGTGCCATTTTCCTGGAGTCTTGCTGAATTTACAACTCATTTCTTCGGCAGCAGATGAGGAACAATCAGAAATTGGCTGTCCAAAGTATAGCGGAACTAATTTTCGTGGTTGAAATGTATGAAAAACAATTTTTGCACATTAAATTCTACAAAAGTAGTTAGAAATACGCGAAAATTTCAGTGATAATTTGAGGTTTCTCACCTTTCCAATACTCGATTGCTTGTGAAAACGAGACTTAAAAATACCGTGCGCTTGTTTTATCTCACTTACACACCAAATATTGAAAAAATTGCAAAAAAATGAGTCGCACTGCATAATTATAATAATCCATCAGAGTAACAAGATTAATTCCTTGCCTGTTCTTGAGGATTATTGTTTGGTTTCTTAACAAACGATTTCGAAAATGCTACACGGACAATGCATATATCTATTAAGCACTATTTAGCTAGAAAGAAGTTCTGTGGCTGTTGCAGTGGTCG